CCACAATTTGCTGCAATATTTGAAAATAAGTCCTTAATAAGTGAGTATATATTTTCACGGAAGTGTCCAGGGCCAACTCGAAGCATCTTTCGTGGGCTGACCCTCACAGAACCAATTCCATGCGTGCTCTGTTGGTGGGCAACTCTCATTATGAGAACATTAATAAAACATATAAAAACACAGAAGAAAACAAATTTAAAAAGGGACACAAAGTAATTTTGTTACAATCCAGTTAAATTTATATATACCTAAAAACCTTAACTGTGTATATCAAAAGTTCATGGGCTCTTATCAAGCCTCTGTTCTGTTTTTTGTATATTGAAATGCTTTTGTTGACTGTTAGATTTATAACAAAAATTTAAAAGGTAATTGCTTTATTTGTAGAGCTAACTTTTGAGTTTTATGTGTTGTAAATATTTGATAATCATTGAAATTATTCAATGTTATGAGAAAATACAGGAAAAAAGAGGTAATTGGACACCAGTCATTCTGCCTTTGACATTTTTATTGTTGTTCAGTTGTTTCAGTCATGTCTGACTCTTCATGACCCCATTTGGGATTTTCTTGGCAAAGAATCTGGAGTAGTTCGCCATTTCTTTCTCTAGGTCATTTTATAGGTGAGGAAACTATGGCAAACAGGGTTAAGTGACTTGACCAGTGTCATACAGCTAGTAAGTATCTCAGGCCCGATTTGAACTCAGGTCTTCCTGACTCCAGGAGTGGTATCCTATGCACTGTGCCACCTAGCTGCCCACCTTTGACTAGCTTTCCATGTTATTTATGAGTTAACAACTTCTGAATTCAAATTTCTGTACAGAAAGCAGTGGCTCAGTAAATGAAAAGCAAAGTAGTATAGCAGACAGCATGCCTGCCCTGAAGATGGGAGCCCTGGGTTGGTACCTATGGACAAATAGACTCAAAGCCTTGGTTTCCTTAGATGGAAAATGGGGACAATACTACTTGCAATACCTACTTCAGGGTTGCAATACCAACAATGGTGTTGTTGTAAGGAATGTACTTTGCAAACCTCATTATATTATTTTTAAAAATCAGATCTATGATTCTGTTGATGTAGGGAGTGCTAATGAGAAACGTCTTCCATCAAGTAGATCAGCATAATCTCTGCAAGTTAGGGTCTTAGAGAGTTGACCAGGGGCACTGAGAAATTAATTGACTTGCCTAGGGTCAAACAGCCAATATGTTGCAGAAAAAGGAGCTGAACCCAGGTCTTCCTAACTCCAAAGCCTGGCCTCTGTCCAGTATGTTATATACTGCCTCTACCTTGGCAAGTATGGGAAATAGAAAAGAAAGCTGTGGTTCCAGCCCTAAAGAATCTCACAGTAAAGGGATAAGACAATTACACAAATAGGGATGGTACAAGGTAGGATGTGAGAAGTGCAGCAAAAGAGACATAAACAAAGAACTATGGAGGTTCACAGCAAAATTCCTTCCTTCCTTCCTTCCTTCCTTCCTTCCTTCCTTCCTTCCTTCCTTCCTTCCTTCCTTCCTTCCTTCCCAGCGCTGCAAGTGTAATTTTTCTAATACGCTGCTCCAAAACTCCTCTAAAAGTCTTCAGTGATTCCCCAGTTGATAAATGGTCAAAGGATATGAACAGGCAATTTTCAGAGGAAAAAATAAAGCTATCTATAGTCATGTGAAAAAATGCTCCAAATCACTATTGATTAGAGAAATGCAAATCAAAACAACTCTGAGGTACCACATCACATCTGTCAGATTGGCTAACATGACAAAACAGGAAAATGATAAATGTTGGATATCCTATCTTTACTACACTAATGTGATTTTATGGATCTACCAATATTCCCTGTATATGTATTGTAAAGTCCTTGGAAAAGTAGAAGAGCTGTACTAAGTTAAGTATTATTTATATAATTTAAAAAAATGATCATTAAGTGCTTTTTTCTGGAAATACTCCCAATGACTTTATGATATTGTTGTTTTAATAAGCAAAAGTTGCAATAAATTTATTTCTATTTTAAATTCCCTACTTTTATTTCCCTAAAAATCCCAAACTGACCAGTAAAATGAAAGAGTTCAATCAGATGATCCCTAACGTTGTGGCATAAGTCTTTGATATTATGAAATAAAATAATCCTGTTCCTACCACTAGAGAATTTTCATAATCTGTCTTTAGCCTTCCTTTTAAATTTTATCTCATATGATAGTGTCCCATCATATACTCATTTAACCCATGAATTCAACTATTTGAGAGAGACAGAGAGAGAACTGTTGTAGATACATGTACAACATAGGGCAAGAAGATGATTGCCTACAAGCTCACTGGGCATATTTTGTGTAGCTTCTCTTTTCTTTCTTTCTTTTTTTTCTTTTTTTTTGCTAGGCAATGGGGTTAAGTGACTTGCCCAGGGTCACACAGCTAGTAAATGTTATGTGTCTGAGGCCGAATTTGAACTCAGGTCCTCCTGAATCCAGGGTCAGTACTCTATCCACTGCACAACCTAGCTGCCCTCTGACTAGCTTTTCTTAGTAGCCTTTAGGTAGATATGGTGGAACATAGTTTTGGCTATGGATTAAAAAAAAACTGTTATCTTACTCTAGGCATGGAGAGGATTTCCAGTTATTGCATGTTAATTGATGGAAGCAGAAAATCTAGCTTATGTGTCTAAAGACCTGAAGTACAGAAGATGGTAATAGATAGAAGCTCATTGGCTTTTTGATATGCAGTAGCCACAACAAACCTCTAAGAATGTAGAGATGTGACACTAGAAAATGTCCCAGCAGCATTTGAGGTATAAATTGCCATGTGCGTGTGTGTGTGTGTGTGTGTGTGTGTGTGTATACACCCAGTCCACATGTCCCCGTCTGTGTGCTTTGTATATTTGAACCTTTCCACATAGGTTCCTGGACTGTACCACTTCATGTGTGTTTCCTGGCCACACATTTTTCCTATGCATGATCCTTGTGACATACATTCTCCAGGTTTCTACCTTTCCCCAATTTTGGTGTGGTAACATATGGGACAATGTATTCCTTTCTAATGTGTACATGGGAAGATTTATTACATTATCAACTTTATTTGCTTTGCTGTTAAATACCTTCTGTTTAGAACTATATGTGCTTTCTGGCTAGCTGGTAAAAAATAATCATATAGCTCATGAGTCATAATTTGGGATAGCTTTTTTGGGGCATCAGTGAGGGGATGCTCCAGGTGCTATAAATGTGTTATCTTTCATATTAATCTATAAACTCTTTGAGGACAAGGGTTTTATCTCATTTCATCTTTACATCTGCAGTCTGAATACAATATCTTATATGTCATAGGTTCTTAATAGACAAATGTGTATTGAATTGAATACAGTGCTAGTAACCCAACTAATTTTCAGAGTTCAGCCATCATTAGATTTGTTTTCTATTCAAGCATCTTCCCATTAGACTGTAAACTCTCTGAAGTCAGAGACTATATTAGTTTTCATATTTGTAACTCCAGCATATTCCTTGCATATTATAGGTATAATTATATTTATTTAATTGAATTGAAACTTGTGGAGAACAAAATGCATCTCCAACATCCCTAAACTATTAGTTTTTCTTATGGATAGAATCTGTGATTTTACTGATGAAGGTAACCCTGAGAGTTAGGAAACTCCTTCTAGCAATATAGGTCAGCAACTCTTCTGTAACTTATGGTCCATCGCTTAGCACAGTGCCTGGCCCACAGTAGGTGCTCAATAAATGTTAATTGAATTGAATTGAATTAGCTTTTGGGAACACTGAATGGTTAAGTGACTTAGAACCAGTATGTGTCAGATGTGAGACCTCAATCACAGGGCAGCCTAGAAGACATAACATCTTTGAATGTAATGTACTGCTTGTTCTCATGAAATTTATGACCTGGTAGGATGAGTAATTTTCACTCCCCCCCCCATCCTTTCAAGGTTTACCAAGTACTTTTATAAAATTTTGGGTGGGAAGTAACATTAGCAATCCTGTAATATTACTATTTTACAGATGGGGAAACTGAGGCCCTGCAATTAGCCTGCAACCTTATAGGGAGTAAGTCAAGCCCAGGTAGGTCTTCAGACAAAAATGACACAGTTCCTTTCCCTCATGGAGTTCAATACATACATACATACATCTATATTCATATATACGTAGGAACTTATAGACATACACAAGTGTGTTTATGTGTGTTTATATACATATGTATGGCATAGTGAAGTACATAGCTAGCTGTGGAGGCAAGAAGACCTGGATCCAAGTCTCCCTTTGGTACACATTGGTTGTGTGACCCTGCACAAGTGATTTAACCTATCTAGGGTGGCAATCATGTGGGCATCTAGGTCCTGAAGTGGCTGGAGTCAAGGAAGACATGAGAGCAAATCTGAGCTCAGACTTCCATTAGCTGTGTGACCCTGGGCAAGTCCTTTGACCTTGTCTGTTTCAGTTTCCTTAGGCTGTAAAATGGGGATCGTAACAGCACTTCCCTCTGGGTGTTGTTCTGAAGACCAAATCATATAATATTTGTAACTCGCTTAGCATAGTGCTTGGCACCTAGTAGGCGTTTTAAGTGCTTATTTCCTTCCTTTCCTTTTTTCCAGTTAAAAGTATAAATTTCGGGGAAGGTGAAAGGAGTTTACTCATCCAGGCGTTCCCTACACTGCAGGCATTACAGGTCCAGTCTTTACAGCTGTCCATACACGTTAATTATCCAGCGCCGGTCCCCTGCACTGCACTTTTCTCAAAGACAACAAAGAAGTTGCCTTCCCCTCAAGTGGCATGCACCTAGCCCCGCCCCACCCTCCCCCGACGCTCGCAGCCCTCGGGGAGCACATCTGCCTAGGCCTGGTCCCAGCCCCATCCCCGCCCCCGGGCTTGCAGCCCTCAGGCAGGCTCCGCCACGGTTTGTTTGGGGTGGGGACAGCCGGCGGGGCGGCCGGGCATGCGCAGAGCTTGCTGGCGGTGGTTGCCGTGGCATCGGGCAGGGGCGGGGGCTGCGGGCTGCGGGCTGCGGGCGCCGGGAGGGAGCTGAGGAGCGGAGCGGAGCTAGGCGGCCCCGGGAGAGCGGCCCGGGGCGTGAGGGGGCGCGGAGCCGGCCGGGGCGGGATGAGGGACCGGCTGCCGGACCTGACAGCGGTGAGCAGGAGGGGGTCCGGCTTGGGTGGGCCCGACATTGCCTGGGCTGGGGGGAGGGGAGAGAGAAGGGGAGGAGCGCCCGGGGGAGGCGAGGACCCCCCCACCCCCACACCTCTGTGGCTGTGCTCCCTCCTCCCAAGGAGCAGGCCTGGCGGGGTCCTCCGGTGGGGGCGCGCGGGGTTGTGATGACCCGTCGGGCCGGGCCCCGCACATCTGGAGCCCGCCCGGCGCCTCGTTCTGCTGGCCCCGATAAGCGAGAGGGGTGTCCGGAGGCTGGCGGCGGCGAGCGGGCCGGGAGGCAGTCCTGGGGGGGCTCGCGTCCGGCCCGGTCCGTTAGAGGGGCGGGGGCGGGTTCCGGGCCTGGGCACCGCCGGGCTGGACCCCCAGCCTCTTCCTGCGAGTGCACGGCCCCTGCCATCGCCCTCCGTCCGCTCTTATGGAACTGGTCACTTAGATGCTCCCTCTGCCCCCCTTTCCCTCTGAGACACCCCTATGGACCTGGTCACTTAGATGCTCTCTGTGCCCCCCTCCCTCTGAGAGACCCCTATTGACCTGGTCACTTAGATGCTCCCTCTGCCCCCCCTTCCCTCTGAGACACCCCTATGGACCTGGTCACTTAGATGCTCTCTGTGCCCCCCTCTCTCACTGTCATTTAGATGTCCACCCCCATGGAAGGAGTGCTCCTCTGCCCTCCACTTTCCCTCTGAGACCCTATAGACCTGGTCACTTAGATGCCCCCCCATGGAGGGAGTGCCCTCCCCTCCCCCTTCCCTCTGAGAAACCCCTATGGACCTGGTCACTTAGATGCTCTTCTCCCCCCCCCACCATGGAGGGAGTGCCCCTGTGCCTTCCTCTTTCTCTCTGAGAGGCCCCTATGGACCTGGTCACTTAGATGCTCTCTTCCCCCCTCCCTGCCATGAAGGGAGTGCCTCTCTCCCCTCCCCCTTCCCTCTGAGAGGCCCTTATGGACCTGGTCACTTAGATGTTCTCCCCATCCCCTGTTGGAGAGTGAGCCTGTCTGCCTGCCCTTTTCTCTCTGAGATGGCCTTCCATCTTTTGTAGGGCCCCTATGGACCTAGTCACTTAGGTGGTGCCTCAGCCCTCCTCACCCTTCCCCCCTTCCCTCTGAGGTGAGCCTCTGTCTGTAGGGCTTGTATGGTGATTTATAGTTGTTCTGTAGTGATTTATATGTTGTCTCCTTCATATTAAACTATGAGCTCCTTGAGAGCAGGGTCTCTTTTTGCCTTTGTGTGTGTGTCCACAGTGCCTTACGTGTAGTAAGTGCTTAATAAATGCTTGTTAACTGAATAGAGTCAATAGAGACAAGGATTGAAAGCCTGATGCTTACTACCAGTGTAACTAGGCCTCCGTTTTCTTGTCTGTAAAATGGAAGCATTAGATCAGATGACCTAGATAGTCCTGTCTAGATCTGTGGATCTGTGTGTAATTAGAGTTACCCAAAAATGAATTGGGCTGCCTTGTGACATGATGGATTCTGTCTGGTGCACTGTAAGTAGGAGTTGAGGAGTTGGACAAGTTGGCTTTGATACTTTTCCAGCCAGAGATAATCTGATTTTAGTTATGGAATAGGGTGGGAGGAGTACCCTTAAATCCTATATATAAATATGTCTTAAGACATGTTCCACTTTTAAAACCTAAATTGAGACTCTAGATTTGAAATCAAAGGACCTGGATTACTGCCTGTGACCTTGAGCATGTCACTTCTTTATGACCCCTAGTTTCCTCTCTCATCAGGTGAGAGGGTTGGACTAGATTATCCCTAAGGCTTCCTTCAAGCTTTAACTCTATTAATTTATAGTTTATTTGGATTCACAGCATGTAGCTTGGTATTTTGTGAATCTGTAGACAGGTTTGGGATATGAATTAATTGCACCCCAGTGGCTGGATTACAGGGCCTCTGAACCCTCGTAAATTCCCTTTACAAACCACAAGAAAAATGTACCAGGGTCTCTGCTCTCAGGCTAGCAGTGCAGTGGGAGAAACAGGGCAGATAGGCACAGGGAGCAGGTCAAATACATGTGAAAGAGGGGGTAACAGCAATAAGGAGTTCAGAGACGGGTGCTGTAGCTGCCAAAGGTTTCAGGGAAGAGCTAGGGCTTGAGCAAGTTCTTCCTACCTGGTCTGTCTACGCCTAAGCAGATAGACTTTGTTGTTCAGAATCACTTTGCCCTTGTTGATAAATTGTTGGTAAAAGTGCCAGAATGTGATCGTATACATTATATACGTGCCTGCTTCTTGAGAACTTGGTCTGGGTACTTATTCATTATCCTCCTATAGCAACCAGTATAGTATTCTGTACCTAGTAGGAATTCAGTAAATTATATTGAGTACAGCCATTTTTTTTTTGGTGAGGGAACAGTGGCAAGTTGAAAATAAAAATAATTTTATGAAAAAATGCATTAAAATGAGTTTTTTGGAGTCATTGAGAAAATACTTGGTGGTCATATTCTTTTTGTTAAACTTACACAAATAATACTTAACATTAATGCAGCATTTCTATTTTTAAAGGACTTTCCATGTGTTAACTTTTAAAAAAAATTTACTTTTATTTTTTAAGTTATGTTTATTTTTTTCAATTAATAAGCATTTATTTTCTCTTCCTTCCACTTTATTCCTACTGGGGGAAATAAAAAAAAAAAAACAAACCATTGCAACAAATTGGCATAGGCAAGCAAAACAGAGTTCACTATTACTCAGGTCCAAGACTATATGTCTCATTCTGCATATTCAGTCCTTCCTCTCTATGTCTTTAACCTCATTCCCTTGCAGTTATGGTTGACCACTGCATTGACCACAATTCTTAAGTCTTTCAAAATTGTTTGTTTGGGTTTTTTTTTCCAGTGTTAAAAGAGTAAGAATTTTTGCCCTGATTCTGCTCACTTTACTCTGCATCAATTCATACAAGTCTTCCTAGGATTCTCTGAAACTATCCTTTTTGTTATCCTTCCTTTTTTTCTTTTTTTCCTTGCTAATACAGATAATATTAGTAGATACATAAATTCATATGAGTGGAATAGAGAAAGGAGACTTTCTTAAATGGTTTGTTACTAGGAGACTATTAGGCAGTCATATATAAGAATTATCCACATCCCAAAGAAGAGTTTAGGACACACTAGAAATATTTCCTGTGCTGGACTGAGTGCCTTGATAAGGAAGCATCTTTCCTTTTTCCATTTCTCAATCATAAACTGTCTTGCCTCTCCCATAGTCAGCCAATTAATGTTTACGAAATGTTGTTTGTGAAGTATCCTCTGCTAGCCATGGTGAATTGTTATCTGTTGGGTTTCATTAATTTATGATATAGAAGGCATTTTTCAATGGCACTGAAAAAGTTTGTTATGGCTATTGTAGCAAAAACAGTCACTTAATCCATTGTAGGGGATAAAGAAAATAAATCATAATAAATTGAGAGGTAACTTTAAATTGATCCAGTCCTCATGTCTTTTTTGCTTTTAAATATTTTCCCTGGAAGTTATTTTGGATGTATACAGATGGATGTAGGTATAGATATACAGACCTATATGCTGTGTATATACTTCTGGATGGGAAGGAGGAAGGGTTTTCAGTCCCCCAGAAGAATGTCTGGTGTTCTTCTTTAGGCAAAGTTTAAGGGCAAATTTAGGCCATTAAATATGTCTTTAGGGGCAGCAAGGTAGGGAAGTAGATAGAGTGGTCCTGGGGTTAGGAAGACTCATCTTCCTGAGTTCAAATCCAGCCTCAGATACTTAATAGCTGTGTGACCCTGGTTGAGTCACTTACCCCATTTGCCTTAGTTTCCTCATCTATAAAATGAGCTGGAGAAGGAAATGGCAAGCCACTCTCGCAGCTTTTCTAAGAAAACCCCAAATAGGGTCACAAAGAGTTAGACATGACTGAAAAATAACTAAACAACAAAAATATGCTGTTTTGCCTGCTATCGATAATAACAAAATGCATATGATTGTACAAAAAGAGACCTATAAACTCTAGGTTTTCACAGTGGTGGGTTTGTTGTTTGGTTTTGAACCACACTCAGGATCTCATTGGGTAGGAGGAAACGCCTACCAGTGCCAGTGGTAGCTGCTCTGCATTTTATAATCTTGGGCGTGTGGCAAAGAGAAGTTAAGTGACTTTCCTAGGGTCAAACAGATAAGAAATGTTATCTGGGCAAGACTTGAACTCCATTCGTCAAGGCTCAGACTAGCTTTCTGTACATTACCATGCTTCCTCTCATTTAGTCGTTAATGTTGAAATTTGAACAATTTCTGCTGAGAAAAAAGTTTTCTGTTAAACTCATGTGAAAACATGAGAATTAATTTGCTTAATGTCTTTGTGCATAGGGGTAATACTTTATGCAGTGTAGATTCGACTTGTCCTTTTAATGTCCACTTCTCAATTTGACAAGAATCTGCTCTTCACCTTTCTCTGTAGTCTTGGAGAATCCAAGATCTGTCTGTGTTAGAGGTTTCTTTGTTAATGTGATTGAAAAGTCAGCCCTCTATTGAGACAGGAAAGCAAAAGTATAACCCTAACATTGATATTGTGATTGCTAAGTTTGAAAAGCTTTCATTTCCCCAAAGCACATGTGTTTAACTCTTTAGGAGGACAATTCATTTGGCTACATCAATAAGTAGCTTCACACCTTACTATATGGGGGGTGGGGAGAGAGGGAATTCTTTACATCATTTCATTTTTGTGGGGAGAGAGGGAATTCTTTACATCATTTCATTTTTGTGAGACTGATTAGTTTCGTAGAATTCTACAATTCTTATAAATTGTGTTCTAGGTTGGAAAGTTAATCTTCACCACTGTTTTGAATTTGTATTTGTAATTTAGATCAAATATTTTGTTGTTATTATTTACTCCCTTATATTAACATTTGGTTATTGTACAGTAGAGAAAATATTCCAGTGATGTTATGGGTAGTTGAATGTGGGGAATGTAATGTTAGTCCTTCACCAAAGTCCACCTTCATTGCCTCACAGTGGTCTGAAGGTAGT